CTCAAAGAAGAAACAAACCGGGAACGGGCAGCGAATCGCTGCGAATCCGAGTCACACAGCACCTCGTCCAATTAGATGAGGTGAGCCGTCGGCACCGAATTCGGTCTCAGCCCAAGAAGCTCACTGAGTGCCTTGCTCCTCTTCCTGGCAAGCCAGAGTGTGCCACAAGCATGGGCATGGTTGCCGGAAAAAAATACGTGGATACGTGTCTAACAATTTCGGGGACCACCCAAAATGGTGGTCCTCCTTTAAAACCACCACACAAAAAACGGTACCCTCAAAAAACGACACACCCGTTTGCCTAGAAACAGCTCGTGGCTTGTTGCGCGGCACATGCGGCTGGCTTCTCTGGCGGTTAAAACAAAAAAGCATATGGGGTGGGGGCTTACGAGCTCTCATTCATTCCAATTGCTTCAAGGCAAGCCACTCCGGTGACCGTGACAAGTTGTCTGATTCCCAACGTCGCCCAACAGGGAAAAATGGTGAGGTGCGCCCCCGCTAAGCCTTCTGCTTGACAGGCGCATGGCATGCACCCCGACTCGGCCGAGAAGTTCGACGGAGTTGGTTCCTTCTTTCGCTTGCCAGGCATGGGGTGCTGAAGATTTTCCCAAGTCGATTGCACCCAGGCGCGACTCAAGGGACTTTTTTGGCCTGTGGGGCGTAAGCCTTTCCATTTGCGGCGGTCAACTGCCATTTAGAGCCCAGTAAGTCATGTAAAATCCCTCTGGCAGCTCGAGTGAGTGAGAAATTCCCTTCAGCTTGCAGCTTGTGCCCATTCTCATTGAAGATCCCGCGTGTCCAAATGGGGACACCTGGTCCCACCTCTCGAGATGCAACACGAGAAGGCGCCGCTCTGCAAAGGGTGGTGAATATGGGGTCTGAAAGAACAAGAACAGCCATCTACAGCTCCTTGTGGTTTCCGTTACATGGGCTTCAGGCTGCTCAACGCATGCGACCCTGCCACCGGCAGACAGCCGGCGATTTAGATATGTCCAGAACTTCCCCCCATGTGGGTATGAATCTTAATTAGGGACCCTTTGGTGGACATCATTTAGGTGGGGATTCATGTCCACCAATCATCTTTGAGGTGGTTCGCTACTACATTCATGGCCGTATCTCAGCGACCCTTCCTGAGAACCGCTGCTTTTGTTGATCTCCCCAGTTTGCCATAGGCTTTGCGGGTCCACAAACAGCCGAGAGGGGAAACCGCCCTCGATCTTGAATGTCCAAGTTGGGAAGGCCAAGCGCAAACAAGAAATGCTTCAAAACACAGGTTGCAGACCTGTTTGTGGGCTGTTGGCGTCCTGGGGAAGCAATCAATGCAGCTACGTTTTCTTTTGTGGGTGGCAGTTGCCTCAGCGTGCTGCAAAAAAAAAAACATCCACCGCGCAGCTTCACGCTAGGGTTCACCTCTGGCATGTGGGCTCAACATTTGGGCTGCGGGTGTGCTCTTGAACGTCTTGACCTCTGGCGTAGGGTTTGCTCTTGAACGCGCGAACCACTGGCCTGCGTGCCTAACATTTGGGCCGCAGGTTTGCTCTTGAACGCTCCAACCGCTGGCCTGCGCGCCTAACATTTTGCCCGCAGGTTTGCTCTTGAAGGCGCGAACCGCTGGCGTGTGTGTGTGTGCCTATTTGGACGGCAGGTTTGCTCTTGAGCGCGCTATCTGCTGGCGTGAGTGTGCCTAACATTTGGGCCGGTCTTGAACGCGCTAACTGCTGGCGTGTGTGCTCAACATTTGGGCTGCGTGTGTGCGCTTGAACGTCTTGACCTCTGGCGTGTGCTTAACAGATTGGTCCTCCAGGACCTCTGGAACGCTATTTTCCGTGGTTGGTGTTCCCTCCGTAAGCAAACACGCCACTTCCATTTAGAGGAAGAAACCGGGAACGGCAGCCCTCCCACATTGCCATAGTCCGGCTTGGGTTCAACCCCCAATAAGAATGGTTGACCCAATTTGGATGAACATTAGGTAAACGATGGTTTTGTTAGCTTCACCCCATAATTTTCATGGTGGTTTGAACACACGGCTTCCCCAAGCGTCCAACTCTCCGACGCAACGACGCACGCGACAACTCGCGACGCGAAGCGCCTCCGAGGCGTCGGGGGATCGACACCCGATGCGCGCGTGCTTTTTCATGCGCGGCCGCCGCGGAGCCTTCCGAGGATGTGCCAACGGCCGTGCTTTCGGATTTCCGTTTAGACCGCCCAAAACAGGGATCCCCGCAAAAAAGAGACGAAAAGACCACACAAAACAGGGATCCCCCCCAAAAAGACACGAAAAGACCACCCAAAACAGGAATCCCCCTAAAACAAAACACGAAATACAAGAAACATCTGTGAGTGTCCCTTTCCCATCAACATCCAGCTGCTTCATTAGCGCCCTGGGACAAAATGGACAAATATACAATATGTCGATCCAGTGATCGATTCTCTTCAAAACCAACAAGGGAAAATCAACCATATTCTGAAGCAAATCGAAGTTGAAAAAAGGCGGGTGCCGGGTGCCCTACAAGAAAACGCTAAATCATCAACATGTTCGATTGGATTCTACCCAAGCCCAGGATGTGATTTAGGCTCTGGCCGAATGCCCAGGCGAGAGGCCCAGTGACCCGAAATGTTGCAAAGGCAGAAGTCCTGCAACTCACTGCAAACTTACAAGGGCGCCATGGTTGGATGTGAGTCTCACTTCCCGAGTGGATGGCCCCCCAAAAAATCCCAAAAAAATCTATTTACCACTAGGGTGGTCCAAACCCCAAAAAGTGACTCTTTAGTGCATGAGCTCGGGCAGTGAGGAGTTCACTTGCCATGCCCACCCAAATGAAGAGTGGGGCCCATGGTTTTGAGGGGCCCTTCCCCCCCCCAAAGCGGTCGAAGGCTTAGATGGGAATCGGAGCCCTGAAACGCGGCTTCCTTTTGGTCACGGGGTCTGCTGTGGTCTGAGTCCATGATCCAATGCCCCAGCGCTCCAAAACACCGGCCAAGCGCTCCAAAGCACGGCCAACACCGTTTGACTTAACATGAGCCCGACCCTTTCCGGTCCACAAGGGGGGGCTAGAACACAAGGAGCTGGCCCTTTGGTAGACTTCTGGGATCAGACACATGATCAAACAGGTCCAAAATGAAGAAAGCACAGGGTGACACTTGGTCGGAAAAAAAGAATGAGCCATTTCCCAACCAAACGGGAATCAACCAGATGGTGTTGGCCTTGGGCCCCCCAGTTCGGTGGCATATCTCGCCGCCCTTTTGTCCAGTTGGCACCGAATGCTTGTGCTGTCGGGCTAGGGATCCTGCATGGCTTGCGTTCCATATGCGCGAGTCGAGTAACCTCCGGCGCGTTACCTTCCTGCGCACCCCACGTCACCTTCTTCAAAAAAAAATACAAATATATGGACGGTGAAGAACCTTCTCTGCAGAACACCGATCCAGTAGAGAGGTTAGAATAAAGGTACCCCTTTGTCTGTAGTCTATTTTAGTAGGGGAACCCTCCCCACCAAAAAAGAAACGGTGAGAGGTCGGGCACCAATTGCTGGTTTGTGGACCTAGATACTCCCCCCCCATTCCCCAATTCCCCAATTCCCCAATTCCCGTACACCAAAAAAGAAACGGTTTTCCGGGCACCTAGATACCCCCCCCCCAAAACCCATTCCCTTTGCTCAGATTCCCTATGCGTCGGATCGATCGGAATCGATCGCCTTCGTGGGCTCTGGGAAGGGGACCTTCTCGCCGTTCTGGAAGATCAAGGGCTTGAATTCCTGGCGCGATGCAGTTTTTTCACGCCCTCAGAGTTCTGGAGACTTGCAGTTTTTTGTTTTTCTCGTTGTTGTTTTTTGGGGGGGGGATTTTTTTGGGGGCCATCCACTCGGGAAGTGAGACTCACATCCGAGCCCTTGTAAGTTTGCAGTGAGCTGCAGGACTTCTGCCTTTGCAACATTTCGGGTCACTGGGCCTCTCGCCTTGACAGGGCATTCGGCCAGGGCCTAAATCACATCCTGGGCTTGGGTATAATCCAATCGAACATGTGGATGATTCAGCGTTTTCTTGTAGGGGTCCCGCCTTTTTCAACGTCGATTTGCTTAAGAATATGGTTGATTTCCCCTTGTTGGTTTTGAACGCTGCCCGAGTTCTGTTTTGACTTCGAGTGGAAACCGCCCTTTAAGATGTGGCTGCGAGAAGTTGGTTGGTTGGACTCTGAGTGGAAAACACAGTTTGTTTTCTTGGGAACAAAAACGCACATTCCATTGAATGATTGGCCCAACCACGAAACCCACTAAAACGATTCAAGCAGCTAAGCTGATGAACCGGATGGCTGGGAGCCACCAAGTCGCATTACCCATGAAAAACCCATGGCCCAGAGGACTTGGGGTCGAAAAGTTGGTCTTGCCCCAAAGTAACCAATACCAATGGGTGCATGGGGTCCTGCATAATTCTAGGAAATAACTCATGTTCAGCCATTCAGAAACTCCTGTTAACTAATAGTGTGCCCCTGGTTTCAGTGGGGGTTCATCGCTTGAGGGGAACAAACCCATATTCATAAACAAGGGTTTATTCATCCGGCGCTCCAATTCATAGAGGGGTTGCCATTCCGAGCCTTTCATGCAAGAAAGGACGATCCCCCTGCTGCGGGTTGCGGATTTTCTCGACTGCTTCTTGCTGGGTCAAAGAATGGGGTCAACAAAAATGATATTACAACGTTGTGTCATGAATCCCCGAATTTCGATGTCCACAATTCCGGGTGCACATCAAAACTCATAGCCACCCCTCCGAATTTCGATATCCACAATTCCGGGTGCACATCAAAACTCATAGCTACCCCTCCGAATTTCGATATCCACAATTCCGGGTGCACATCAAAACTCGTAGCCACCCCTCCGAATTTCGATATCCACAATTCCGGGTGCACATCACAACTCATAGCCACCCCTCCGAATTTCGATATCCACAATTCCGGGTGCACATCAAAACTCATAGCCACCCCTCCGAATTTCGATATCCACAATTCCGGGTGCACATCAAAACTCATAGCCACCCCTCCGAATTTCGATATCCACAATTCCAAAACTCATAGGATATCCACAATTCCGGTGCACATCAAAACTCATAGCCCCCCCTCCGAATTTCGATATCCACAATTCCGGGTGCACATCAAAACTCTAGCCACCCCGAATTTCGATATCCACAATTCCGGGTGCACATCAAAACTCATAGCCACCCCTCCGAATTTCGATATCCACAATTCCGGGTGCACATCAAAACTCATAGCCACCCCTCCGAATTTCGATATCCACAATTCCGGGTGCACATCAAAACTCATGTCATACCTGGATCTCCTGGAAGTTAAGAATTCCTACTCCAAAATTGAAAAAGTACTTTTTGGCCTGAGGACACGGGTATTTCCACTTTCGAACGGGTATTTCTACTCTTGAACGGATATTTTCACTACCATCGAAGTGTTCAGAAATCAGCACTGCACATAAATTATCAAAGGCTTATTGCGTAATGTTGGCGTATTTTTTTACGTACCTCCGAACGGGTCCGAACGGGTCCGAACGGGTACGAACGGGTTCGAGGGGTTCGAACGGGTTTCGAACGGGCTTCGAACGGGTTCCGAACGGGTCCGAACGGATGCCTGAGCAGTCGGAACTACCCGAACGGGCATTTTAACACGGAGTAAAAATTATCACTCCAGCATGGAAGAAAGTACTTGTGTCTTTTTGGAGTGGGAATTATTAACTTTCAAGAGATGCAGGTAGCCACCCCTCCGAATTTCGATATCCACAATTCTGGGTGCACATCAAAACTCATAGCCACCCCTCCGAATTTCGATATCCACAATTCCGGGTGCACATCAAAACTCATAGCCACCCCTCCGAATTTCGATATCCACAATTCCGGGTGCACATCAAAACTCATAGCCACCCCTCCGAATTTCGATATCCACAATTCCGGGTGCACATCAAAACTCATAGCCACCCCTCCGAATTTCGATATCCACAATTCCGGGTGCACATCAAAACTCATAGCCACCCCTCCGAATTTCGATATCCACAATTCCGGGTGCACATCAAAACTCATAGCCACCCCTCCGAATTTCGATATCCACAATTCAGGGTGCACATCAAAACTCATAGCCACCCCTCCGAATTTCGATATCCACAATTCCGGGTGCACATCAAAACTCATAGCCACCCCTCCGAATTTCGATATCCACAATTCCGGGTGCACATCAAAACTCATAGCCACCCCTCCGAATTTCGATATCCACAATTCCGGGTGCACAGCAAAACTCATAGCCACCCCTCCGAATTTCGATATCCACAATTCCGGGTGCACATCAAAACTCATAGCCACCCTCCGAATTTCGATATCCACAATTCCGGGTGGACATCAAAACTCATAGCCACCCCTCCGAATTTCGATATCCACAATTCCGGGTGCACATCAAAACTCATAGCCACCCCTCCGAATTTCGATATCCACAATTCCGGGTGCACATCAAAACTCATAGCCACCCCTCCGAATTTCGATATCCACAATTCCGGGTGCACATCAAAACTCATAGCCACCCCTCCGAATTTCGATATCCACAATTCCGGGTGCACATCAAAACTCATAGCCACGCCTCCGAATTTCAATATCCACAATTCCGGGTGCACATCAAAACTCATAGCCACCCCTCCGAATTTCGATATCCACAATTCCGGGTGCACATCGAAACTCATAGCCACCCCTCCGAATTTCGATATCCACAATTCCGGGTGCACATCGAAACTCATAGCCACCCCTCCGAATATCCACAATTCGACATCAAAACTCCCACAATTTCGATATCCACAATTCCGGGTGCACATCAAAACTCATAGCCACGCCTCCGAATTTCAATATCCACAATTCCGGGTGCACATCAAAACTCATAGCCACCCCTCCGAATTTCGATATCCACAATTCCGGGTGCACATCGAAACTCATAGCCACCCCTCCGAATTTCGATATCCACAATTCCGGGTGCACATCGAAACTCATAGCCACCCCTCCGAATTTCGATATCCACAATTCCGGGTGCGCATCAAAACTCATAGCCACCCCTCCGAATTTCGAGATCCACAATTCCGGGTGCACATCAAAACTCATAGCCACCCCTCCGAATTTCGACATCCACAATTCCGGGTGCACATCAAAACTCATAGCCACCCCTCCGAAGTTCGATGCCCACAATTTCGGGTAGCCATGTAAGATCTTCATACCCAATCCAGACACCTTGAGATCCCTAGCCCCTAGCTCCCCATTTCTTTCAGGATGCCCGGGAGCTATGAGCCGGCCCGTCTGCAAAGAGGGGCTGCACATTCATCAACCTGGAAACCCCAAAACGCCCTCATGACTCATGCTTTAGGCAATCTCCCGTGGCTTGTGGGCTCCATGTTGCTCTTCTCTTGAAGGTGTCCTGGAAAAAGCATCCTTTCACGGCTTCCTATGCTTGCACCTACGCATCACAAGGAAGCCCAG